ATATATATATATATATATATATATATATATATATATATATATAAGGACTGTCACATGATTAAAAATATTCATTGCAACTAAATCGCACTGTTAAACAATAATAGAATACCATTTATTTAAATATTTGTGGATGTTTTCCACATTTTCAAATATATTGATTTCAATTAAAACACAGAATACAAAGTGTACAGTGTTCACTTTATATTTATTTTTATTAAAAATATTTGCACTGTAAAAACCAAAAGAATTAGTATTTTTCAATTCACCTAATACAACTACTGTAGTGCAATCTCTTTATCATGAAAATTGAACTTACAAATGTAGAATTATGTACAAAAAATAACTGCATTCAAATATAAAACAATGTAAAACTTTAGAGCCTACAAGTCCACTCAGTCCTACTTCTTGTGCAGCCAATTGCTCAAACAAGTTTGTTTACATTTGCAGGAGATAATGCTGCCCGCTTCTTATTCACAATGTTGTCTGAAAATGAGAACAGGTGTTCACATGGCATTGTTGTAGCTGGCGTCACAAGATATTTACGTGCCAGATGTGCTGAAGATTCCCTTCATGCTTCAAGCACCATTCCAGAGGACATGCGTCCATGCTGATGACAGGTTCTGCTCGATAACAATCCAAAGTAGTGTGGACCAACGCATGTTCATTTTCATCATTAGAGTCAAATGTCACCAGCAGAAGGTTGATTTTCTTTTTTGGTGGTTCGGGTTCCGTAGTTTCCGCATTAGAGTGCTGCTCTTTTAAGACTTCTGAAAGCATGCTCTACACCTCATCCCTCTCAGATTTTGGAAGGCACTTCAGATTCTTAAACCTTGGGTCCAGTGCTGTAGCTATTTTTAGCAATCTCACATGGGTATCTACTTTGCATTTTGTAACATCTGCAGTGAAAGTGTTCTTAAAATGAACATGTGCTGAATCATCATCCAAGACAACTATAACATGAACTATATGGCAGAATGCGGTAAAACAGAACAGGAGACATACAATTCTCCCCCAAGGAGTTCGTCACAAATTTAATTAACGCATTATTTTTTTAATGAGCGTCATCAGCATGGAAGCATGTCCTCTGGAATGGTGGCCGAAGCATAAAGGGGCATACGAATGTTTAGCATATCTGGCATGTAGATACCTTGCAATGCCGGCTACAAAAGTGCCATGTGAACGCTTGTTCTCACTTTCTGGTGACATTATAAATAAGAAGTGGGCAGCATTATCTCCCGTAAATGTAAACAAACTTGTTTGTCTTAGCGATTGGCTGAACGAGAAGTAGGACTGAGTGGACTCGTAGGCTCTAAAGTTTTACAGTTTTGTTTTTGAGTGCAGTTACGTAACAAAAAATATCTACATTTGTAAGTTGCACTTTCACAATAAAAGGATTGCATTACAGTATTGTATGAGGTGAATTGAAAAATACTGTTTCTTTTGTTTATCATTTTTACAGTGGAAATATTTGTAATAAAAATAATATAAAGTGAGCAGTGTATACTTTGCGTTGTAATTGAAATCAATATATTTGAAAAGATAGAAAAACACCTAGAATATTTAATAAATTTCAATTGGTAGTCTGTTGTTTAACGGTGCAATTAAAACTGCGATTAATCACGATTAATTTTTTGAGTTAATTGCATGAGTTAACTGCAATTAATTGACAGCCATAGTATGCTATATACATCTGGTCATTTCCAAAATATTTCCAGAAGTACCATCTCAGGTGCAGTGCATCTAATTGTTAGAGGATGTTGCACTTCTTATATCGTGCACAATGGAAGTACTGAATCACTAATGGTATTTTAGAGACACATTCCAAAAAAGACTCTACAAATGACAAGCCAAACATTTGGGGCTAAATGATTACCTTTACCTGTACAGTGAAGGTTCTCTCTTGAGCATCTCTGTACTGACATGTTGTTCCATTAGACTGTACAAGAGGATAGGAAGAGATGTAAAGCTGATATTGTACAGTGTTAGATACGCAGTATCATATAAAGGCTGCAGATAGAAAAAAGAGTTATATTAACCAGTTATATTTTCAAACACAATACATCATACTATGCTTGATTTAACAGGAGAATGTTGTCTTGTTTAGAGACACAAAAGCACATTCCTTAAAACGAAGACAAATTCCACATAGCATCCTTCGATGACTGTTTTTGAGATAGGATAAAAGTCAGTTTTCACCCAGGTTCCTCTGGGCAAACAAGTCAATCAAAATTTGACTTGACAATAGTCAGTGTCCCCTCACAATGTTTCAGCTGTGCAAAGGGGCTGTAAAGCTGCCCTAGCTGGGCAACTGATTCCCCTGGTGGGGGAAATCTCTGTCCGGCATAGCCAGCTCCACTCCACCCCCTTTTCACCCACCCAATGTAGGGTAGAGTTCAGGTGTAATGGCTGGAGTGTTGCTACATTCCAGTAATCCTCAGATGACATAATGGTCACTTGTGGGGCTATAGCTAGCATGTTTAAGCTAAAGCAGCTCTAGAGAACAGCTTGAATAGGGGGATCAAATCAGCTCCTTGACAGCACAAGGGACTGGGCATGAACCAATTTTTTTCTCCCCTTCTCCCTGTTCTGGGTCTTATTCTAGGTACATAATGTTTATCATCATTAACAAACCTATTCCTTACCCCCTATAAAGTGAGGGTTTCTTCCAGACCCTGCCTCATGATCAGCCTATGCCCTGAAACATGTGCACTGAAAATCCTTACTACAAAGGCTTCTCCTTTTTTTTTTAAAGTAGTGTTATTTTTCATGAAAAAGAATGGCAAATTTTACAGCCAAAGTTCATCAACACATGCTTTAACATCTAATATTAGCCAGAGAGTGCTTCACAAAATGCTAGATAGGTTTCAGCTCATCCCTAAAATTGAAAATAGTTTCACACTCAATTTTTTAAGCTCATTGGAGCTTTACTGTGAAAATCTATGAAAAAGGTCCAGTCGGTCCCCTTTTCTTCCAAGTTCCTGAATTTGTTTTCATCTCCCTTACTTCATGGGAGGAACGACAAGGAGCCTTCCATACAACTTAGATAGCTGAGAACAGCCGAGGAAGAGCAAAGAAACAAGAATTTAAAAGAAAGAGGACCAGGCCCTCCCCCAAGAATGCCTTATTTTTCTCTTTTGGAGAATTAGATCCCTAAACTGGTGTGTTTATTTTCCCTTTTCCCACCCCTGATTTCCATGGTATGGACATCTGCATGCTCAGCCTGAGAGAGCCCCAGATCAGGCCAGCTGCCTTCTGCACTTTCACCCCTGCCTCAAAAGACAAACCGTTCACACCCACACCTTTTAGATTTTCTTCTATCCATGCTCCGTGAGCAAAAAATCAATGATTGAACTGCATGTTTTCCATGGAGATTTTGCTTTCCACAGCTAACTCTCAGTTTTGTATTTTCCATTAAGTCTTTGACTCAGAAAATAATGTGGCTTTTCTGATAATTCATCAAATTCATTTCAGTAACAGTCATGAGAGCTCTTGAAAGCCACACTAACCAAAGGTAATAGACTTCTTTAGAGAGAGCTGTAAGCTAAACTAATAGCTTTTTCAGCCTACGGTAAGATTATACAGCATCCTAATGCTTTTAGTTAAAAAAGGCCAAAGAGAAGGTTTTACAATAAGCAGAAAAATTAAAATGCCTAACTAACCTGTTGTGAAAACCCACAGAAGAACTGGTATAAAAACTGAGGAAAAATGAAGCAGACATTCTGGAAGACAAAGTGAGAGTTATCAAGTGATGCACAATCAACAACATATATCACGCATTATTATAACTATGCATATTATAATATCGTATAATACTAATTGTGCTGCACACAGAATACAGAAAAGGCTGTGATAGATTTATAGAAATAGGGCATTCACATTCTCATTTTACATTAGCACAGATAAACACAATTTTGAAATAAAAATTATAACTACTCTGTCAAGTTGGAGGGAAATGAGATGCTACATGGGGGTGGGTAGGCACAGAAGACAGAAAGAGGAAAGTAAGGTCATATCAACAATGGGATTCAGGTAAACTAGTTTCTGATATACTGTGGCCAGTCAGTGTGAACATAAATAGTAAAATGGGTTTCTCCATCCACATTGGTCAACTGAACTTAGAAACTGATTTTAGTTAGAATTACGTTAACTTTTAAAACACTGTTCCTCAGACTTGATTTAAAAGGCACTGTAGATGGTACCTAGAACATGGGTGGGTGGGGGGGCAGGGAAGGAGGGAGTTGCTGGAATACTTAAGGGAATAAAGATTAAAGACAAAATGAAAATTTTATTTTTAACCGTATTAACGATCATACAGTGCATATAAATAAAAGCTGTTCTGCCTCAGAGTTTGGTGACAATGATACTCCTGAGAGCATTCTGCATCAAAAAATTAAAAGTTCTGCATCAAAATAATTAAAATTCTGCACACAATATTTTAAAATTCTGCAAAAATTTGCAAATTTTATTTCACAAATAAATGTGGAGGCTCCAGCCTGGCAGTGGAGCGAACAGACCACTGGCTGCACAGAGGTGGGAGATCACTCTGCAGCCTCTCCTGCCTGGGTCACGGACTCAGCAGTGAGGCTGCACCCAATCCTGACACAGCCTGCCCCAGAAACATCCCAGGGCCCTGCCCCTCCATGCCAGGTGCACCAGGTGTGGGCAGGATCCAAGTGTGGAGGGGCTTAATGTGGGGGAATCCAGGTATGGGTTGAGAGGGTTCTGTGTGCGGGCGGCTCAATGGGGGATCCAGCTGTGAGCGGGGGGTGAGGGGGGGGGCGGGAGTCTGGATGCACAGGGGCTTGTTGCGGGGATATGGGTACAATGGTAATGGGACTCGCAGGGGGTCCAGGTGAAGGTGGTTTGGACTCAGTGGGGCAGGGTGTCATCTGGGTGTGGGGGTCCAGATGCTGGGGGAGTGGGGCTCAGTTGGGTGAGGATCCAGGTACAACTGGTTGAGGCTCGGTGGGGTGAGGATCCAGGTGGTTCGTTGGGGTGGTCCAGGTGCAGGGGGAGTGGGGCTCATCAGCGGGGGTTCTGAATGTGTGTGTGGGGGTGAAGCTCGGTGGGAGGGTCTGAGTATTAGGGGGTCTGGATGCATGGGGATTTGGTGGACAGGGGAGCAGCTCCCTGTACAGAGATCCCTCCCCTTGCAGCTGAGGAGTGATGGGTGCAGGAAGCGGGGTTGGGGGGGTGGGAAGAGGGGGAGTTTTCAGTGCTTCCTGCAGCCAGGGGAGAAATCTCTGAGTAGGTCTGACCCAGCCCCGGATGCCGTGCAGGGGAAGAGGAAGTCCTGTTCTCCCCAGCCCAGCCAGGACTAGCACCTGAGTCCAGTGCAGGGTAGGAGCTACCTGTTGGGTCTTCCCCAGTCCCGCCTCTTGCCCCACAGTGATTTACCTCTCTGCTGGCTGCCCTGGGCACCCGAAACACTGCTGGGGAGGGTCGCATGACTGCTCTTGTGGCTTCCCTTTGCTTCCCCATCAGAAAGTCATTTTTCTGCGGGGAAGCAAAGAAATATGCGGGGGACATAAATTCTGCGCATATGCAGTAGCACAGAATTCCCCCAGGAGTACAATGAGCAAACCCACCTGGGGATTTGTATCTAGGAGTCAACAGCATTTTCTACAGTTGAGGGTACCTATTATATATAGTTAGTTAATACCATATGCATATTTGCAGATTACATGATCCTATCCTACCTTATAAAAGAAGTATTGCACAAGCTCTGATATTCTAACATAATAAAAATGCCCATGAACAAGCAACATTTTTTTCAAATGTTTAAATTTAGGTATTGCATAGTCACTATTTCTTGCAGCTTGACGGCCTTCTTTTCCAGTGATTCCTAGAAGAAAGAGTTGTTAGAAGCTGTTCAGAAAGCTAACGAATTATTTAAAACATACAAAAATACTGGCAAAGTTGCAGGGCATGCGGTGATGTTAATTTATTATTAGATTTCATTATGCCTTATAATTAGCTGGAGTGTATAAAATATAAACATTATCTATGAAAATGGGTAATTAATTGTTTGAAATAACCTCTTTTTTTTAAATTATATTTGTTATTTCCTTTTAAATTAAAATCTAGACTGCACACTTACCTATACCAACGTGTGCTTCTAGAATCATACTGACATCATTTGCTCCATCACCAATTGCTAATGTGATAGGGTGTTCCTTTGATAATTTAATCAATTTTACGATCTGAAAAAGAATTAGCATTAAAAATCTCTTTCCTGACATGTTTACAATTTGGTTAATGGCATGTGGTGTACAGTTAATTAAATGTAAGCAACATGCTTACAAAGGAAATTCTGTGAAAGTGAAGAAAAACAGTTTTGTCCAATTCAATTATTATACATTAAAACCAATAGATTTTCTTTGGCTAGAAAAAGCCCTGAATATGAATAGTCCTCTGGTTTTATAAGTATTATCAGTGCATTTTAAAAGGGGTAGGGGAGAGAGACTGTTGAGGAGACTAATGTAGAAATTATTCAGAAGTTTTGCTTATGCAGTCATCATCTACAGGCTGTGAAAGCTTTAATTACAATAATTCCCAAGGTACAGACTGTACATTTTGAGTAAAATCCTAAAAAAGAAGTTTTTATTTTCTCAAATGCTTCCTAAGCCAGTAAAGTTGCTTTTCTTTTCTTATTTCTTAAGGAGAATGGTTTTCTTGAATATTAATCTCATGATCTATTCCATGACTGGCAAAATGAATATCAAACTTGGCAATGAACAAAGATAATAGGGTCCTGTATGTCTTTCCGAATATAGAAGACCAAATATGGGAGAACAGATCCATCCATTTTAACTAGCAAGCATTATAATTTTAATAAACTGGTCTATTCAAACTAAATACTTATACAAACTTCCCCAGGATGAAAAGAAAAGTGACTAAATACATTAATTAGACTAAATGAATGTGCATGTGTACTGTACATGAGCACTAAAACAAAAATATGGGGATTCAAGATATTTATGTTCCCATGTTTTGTGTCTTAAATATCAACATGCTTTAAAGTTTCCTCCCCTGGAGTTATTAATATTGTTTACAAACTGAACTCCAGGTAAAACAGAGTTTTTAATCTGGGAATATCTACAGCAAATTTATATGTTTATGTTAACATCAATGAGAAAACAGGAGTCAGACAGTATTTCAAACAGTTTACACCATCTATCTATTCTATCTGGATTTTATTTGTATTTAAAGAACAAGAACTAACACTCCACAATAATAGGTAACTCATGCTTCCAATAGTATCATGTAGTATGAGTAGAAGATGAAGCAATTAGTTCATTAAATATGTTTCATTTACCAGTATGTATCAACCATAAAAGTTGATCATATACATAAATCAAAATCAGGTGCACAGCAGGGTTCTCTTTTAATGTGCCATTACCTAATTGCTTTCTAGCAAAAATTCTCCTCTCTTTCTAATTTTTTGCTTCCATTTTATAGGATAGAAAAGTGAAAGATAACATTTTAAATTACCATAATATGTCACAAACAGTAATGACTTTCAATATTTATATAGATGCGTAGTTAACAAGTAATTGATCATGAAACACAAACCTGTGCTTTTTGCAAAGGTGCCATTCGACAGCATAACACTGCACTGCAGTTCCTGCAAATTTCAAGAAAGCGCTCTCTATAGTTACCAGAGCTCCCATCTTCTCTAGGTTTCATTATTAATGATAATGCTGCTCCATCAATAATTAAACCATAATCTTGCATATCAGTTGAAAGTCTGTTGAGGAAGAAAATGCAAGTGAAGAGCTACTGTAAAAATATATATATTTTGAGTTTTGATTTGGAAAGAGAAGGCGAGAAATTTATTTACCAAAAAGCAACATTAAAAGGGACATTACCAAGGTAAATATACTTAAAGTAAAAATCCTTCTATGCTGTTCCTGGCAAAATATTTTTAAATTCTAGTTTACTTTTGACTCATTCTGCTTATTTACTTTTGCATTTCACCACCTAGCTTGGACAATGAAACTAGATTGATTCGGTTTCATTTATGCTTTGACTTCCATGCACTAGTATAATGCTATTGTGTTTGGGTTTCCAGCACTGCAGGGGAATGTTTACAACAAAAATGGGGAAAAAAAGCAGTGGTTTTCAAAACTCTGTAAACATTTACATTTATAATAGTTTTTTTCCCCCAACACCTCCTTCTGTCTCCACTGCCAACACACAACCTTTTGTTTATTTTTGACAAAAATAGACTGCCTAAGCTACCCATTATAATGATACATTATTGACATATTAAAAATTTCCCTCACATGTGTACCACCTTACTACAAGTGACACCTTGAAAACAACAGCAGCATTAAAGTAGCACACTATTAAGTCAGAATTAACTAGAAAATGAGGTACCCTATTTATTAAGAGCTGATGATGAGCTTGAATGCTTGACAGGACAATGAAATATTTTCATTCTTAGTTTAGTAGCCACTTAGCCACTCAACAAGCATAATTCAATATTCTCTGGTTCATAGTATCTTTTAAAAATAAAAATAATATGTTTTTTATAACCATGATCCTTTTTCCATGATCTATTTTTAGCAGTGGAATGGTTAAAATAATGCAAGTCATATGACAAGCCAGAGAATGAAGAGTGTAAAGATTTTTTGCATGTAACAAGCCTACACGAGGTATTAGGTGCTATACAGTAATTCACACTCTGGCAACATAAATTGAGCTACAGTATATTGCTGCCATTGCTGTTCTAACAACCATTTAATTAAATTATGAAATGCCCACCAAATCTTTTCTTGGCTTGAAAGCTGAACTTTCTACATACCCGGAGAAGTTGTCCCTGGTTAAGCTGCCACTGTGCTTTAGGACAGTTTTGCTTAGGTCAAACAATACATCATGTAAACTCTGTTCCTCAATTTTCTTTGTGGTTAGCTCCAGTAGCTGTGTGTTTCTTCTGAAGAGTTTGCAGGCATAGCATGTGGCAGCAGCAGTCTCCATTTTGTCTCCAGTCAGAACCCAAACTTTAATGCCAGCTTTCTGGAGTGCTTCAATCGTGTCAGCAGCTTTTTCTTGCAGCCTGTAGATATCAATTGACAATAAATATTGATAGACTGACTGGAAATGAGAAATTCAGGGTCCTTACTAAAAGGTTTCCATGACATGAACAGTATTTCAGTAAAAGGTTTTAGACACAAGAAGTTTCTAATATGATGAAAATCATAGCTGGGAACCTGAAAATGCTTAAAGACAGAGATCAGCATGTTATAAGTAATGTGTCTTGCCATTTTAAAGCTACACAAAGGTTTCTGTTTTCATCTTTATTACTTAAAGAATCGGATGTTTCATCTCACCAGCTCCAGAGCACGTACAGACACAAAACATATCCAGTATCTTCAATTAGTTGTGTTAAAAAAATGAAATATCTAAGTTGCTGGGTGATAAAAGTCAGACATACACATGTCCCTCCCAGCACCCAATAGGTGTATCTTTTTCTCCCCTCACAAACCCTAAAGATTCTCATTTCATTTCCTCAGACTGCCCATCTCAGAGACTTGCTTCTCCATGATCTTCCCTCCAGCAGATGAAGGGTACACAGGAATACCACCCAGCCCCATCACACATCAGTGCTGTCCCCAAAAGGGTGAGATTCGCTTTTTTGTTCCCCTGGGGCTCCACAGCCTTCATAGCCAGAACTAGTGACAAATGAAGAGGTCCAAGCAATGTCTTCTGAGCAGACCTAATCTTGCTGAGTTTTGTATGCGCTTTTCCACATGGAGTGAGAGATTTTATATAAACTCCATAAAAAGCAAATTAAAAGAACATTATTCTTGCAAAGCTAAGCACTCCAAACTCAGGAAATGCCAGAATTAAGGTAGATCATGCAACCTTAATTATGGTCTGTGTGTGAATATACAGTACAGTCTGATTAAACAATTCTAGGAATATGCTGACTTTGATATAAACCAAAATGTTCATTACCATTTGTGATTCAAATAAAATGAGTATAGAAATACTTGGGTAATATTCACAACATGTTATTCTTCAAAGTTTTATTTTAGTATGGTATCTATGACTGAAAGAAATAAGCTATATTTAACATTTTTATTTGTAGTAGGTCTTAGTCAGAAACACAGTAGTAAAAGTAATAATTTGCAACACTGATTATCTGAAAATACTGATTTCTGTGTATTTATTATGCATAACTGAGAATGTAGTTAGCTAATTTATAGGAGATTGATACAAATAAAGAGATTTGTGCCTAATACAAAAAAGGAGGTATAATTATTGCACCTCTGGTTCAATGCCTCTGTTAATAGGCACATCTTCCCATTTATCACATCATTCAACATAGTCAAAGCAACATACTTACTGGTCCTCAACAGCTGTAGCACCAAGCAAAATAAGATCTTTCTCTATCTGCTCATATGCCTCTGCCAGTTTCTTTTCCCGATCATGAAGGGCTAGCTTTGCATTCTGAAGCAGCTTGCACACACTATCATACTCTTTGCGTGTGAACTTTTTATATGCAACACACAATGTTCTCAGTCCCTCCTAAAGAATATGATAAAAACAAAGAACAATGTTTATACTATAAAAGTCTTAAACACCATTAAGAAAATTTCTGAAAATAGAAGCAATTATTATCTAATATTTATGATTAATGTGAAGAGTCCCTCTTTGGTTCCTCTATATCAGTTTAGGGCTCTATTATGACTATATGATCTGCCAGAGCAAGAGGCATCAGGATATTATGCTGCCCTGAGAGCAGCCTGGGAGAGACATTGTTACCCTCCAAGTAGGGAGTAAATTGTACTGGGTCTATACCCATTGCAGCACACGCTGCCGGACGTGCTAAGGCAGCTATCCTGCTGAGTCCGTAGGATAGGAAGGTGGAAAAGCGTGGGAAACCAAGGCTATATGTTCCCCTTTCTGACCTCTCCTACCTACCTGCATGGAGTGGGAAATGTACTTGCTTTGTGGAGCCTGCTGCCCCTCCTCAGCTGCTACCTGCAATGTGGGTAGCTGGTATAAAGGGGTGCTTCTCACTCTTAATCCCTTGTGCTGCTGCACAAGCAGGGCTAGAATTTGGCTCTTGGCTGGTCCTTACATTATATGCACAAATATTTAATTTGTAGGCAAGCATTTTTGGTTTGTTAGAAATGTCCATTTAAAAGGGATTCAAGTTTATAATTTTTTCAGCTGATTTTACTCATATATTTTCCATATTAAAAAGATCAGTTTTAAAATTCTGATTCATTTGCAGAGATTATCTTTAAATATGTACAAATGAAAAAAATGCTAAAACTGTACAAAAATAGACTTCACTTTTGAGAGCTATAAACAATTGTCTAATCTAAAACAATGCATGTTTCTCTCAGTAACTCCTTATATACTGAAAGGGCAGGCATCATCCAATTTTGAGATAACTAAATATTATAGTTATATTATTTTGTGAAGTTAAGCCCAAAATACCTCAATGTGATGATAATCTCAATCCTATATTTACTGCACATATCGTTTCTTGATTTATAACAGTTTAATTCTAACAGAAGAAGAGAAAGCAAGCACATACGAAACAAAGCAGGATGTCAAGTATCTCATTAATAAAAGGAAACCAAATAAGAAGCTACTTTCTTGTATGCACTGGTCTGATGAACGATCTAGTTCAGTACCTTTTTCACCATAATGTTACACTTCAGCAAATGCACCAAAGTAACTGGACTGAAAGTCAGGTGGAATGACAAGTGTTCAGAAGGCCATACAACAAGAACATTTTCCTTTGACCATTTTCGATGCGAGTATGATCAATTATTTTCTTGCTAGTGTCAGATATTGTTAAATATTTATGTAGTGCCAAAACTTTGAATGGTACTTTACTGAGAATTATAAATGGCACAGTCCTCAAGGAGTTTGCATACTTATTTAGAGAAACAAAGAAAATGAAGATAAAGGAAGCAGCAGTGAAAGGAGGGCCAAGGATTAAGATCAAATGATAACATGAGTCATGTTATGTTGTGGTTGAATTATATAACCTGTGATTTTTTAAATGAAACTGAGGTAGCGCAAGAAGGATGGAGTGGATAGAACAGGAGTGGAAGTGAGTGACAGAAATCAGGGTGAAAGAAATGGGTTTTGAGGAGGCATTTGAAGATGACTGAAGGTGCTTGATACATTACAGAGGGAGGTCATTCCAGTTTGAGGAATGAGTGGGTGGGAACAATCAGCAGTTAAGAGTAGGCAGATTGCAAAGTCCGAGGTGGAGAGGGTCAAGAAGATAAGTATCATGTGTAGGCAGGAGTTCTCTCAAGCTTTCAGTGACAAAAGTTTTTAACTTTACACAGAAAGAGACAAAGAACCAATTAAGGGACATGGTAAAAATAGCAAGAAAAGTTAATTACAGTTGTTGATTGCTGGACAGTCTAAGAGTTGAAGAGAGAAATAAGAAAGTGCCAAAAAATGTCCAACATTTCCAGTTAGAGAGATGGGGAGGATAGTGGAGTTATCAATGGAAACAGAGAAAGGTGGGAAGTGTTGAGCGAGTGATGAAAAATTCAGTTTTTGCCATACTTAATTTAAAATAAGTACTACAACATTCAAGAGAAGATATCAGGATGAGAGGAAAAATACATGAACCTAGACAAAGGGGTGAGGTCTGGAATAAACAGGTAGATCTGACAGTCATCAGCACACAGAGGTGATAAGACATCATAGGAGTCAACAAGATCACCGAGAGAGTAAGGGTAGAAGGAGAAAAGGAGAGACTTATAGAAATGGAGAGGGAAGGGAAGATGATCCTCTGAAAAAAACATCAGTGAGGCAGAAGAGCCAAGAAAGGACAGAATAACAGAAGCCCATGTTAGAGAGAGTGGTGATCACAGAGTGAAAAGACAGGGGAGAGAGAGAGAGAGCGCATTCCATTTTTATTTCAATTAAATATTGGAACTTGAAAAGAGCCCTCCTGCAATGCAGCAATTGAATTTGAGGACTAGCAGTAAAGCATTTCACTGTGTGTAAATATCATGCGTTCACCTTCACACTGCACTACTGCAAGGGTTGGGTACTACTATATTTTTGTATTGGCTCACAATAGCTTGTGGCTTCTGTTGCTGATGTACAGTACTGTAAGCATCCCGAGGACTGCCCACAATACCTAGATCAATGGTTCTCAACTGCGGGTCTGTAGCCCCCTGGGGGACCGCAAGGCAGTTTCAGGGGGTCCACGAAGCAAAGCCGGCATTAGACTGACCGGGACCTATGGTTGAAGCTTGGAGCCCTGAGTCCTGGCACCCACTGGGATGGAAGTTCTGAACCCCCCTGGCTCAGCGGCTAAAGCCCGGAGCTCTAAAGTCCCCCTCTGCCCCCAGCTGGGCCTTGGAGTTTTTATAGCATGTTGGTGGGGGCCTCTGAAAGAAAAAGGTTGAGAATCCCTGATCTAGATCACATCCTCCCACTCCCTATTTGTCCCTGAAATAGCAGAGCACAGTGCCAAGGATAAAAACAAGTAACAATCACCAAAAATGAGTTGGAAATTTTATGGCAACAGGATTTCACTTGATCACCAACACTTCCAGCCTTGAGATATGAATATTGCTCTCCACGGAACAGTACTGCAAGAGTAGTAATTATTATACTCCTTGTAATTTGGTGTTTCCACTTTCTATCTGGATCATGACCAGGAAGCACAGATTTGAGTATAGTATTTTGGTTTGGATTATTTCTGATTTGATCTGAACTGGTTTACATATCCTTAGAAACAATAGTGCTATTTATGACAAACTATCATTGTAAGTTCCCTTTGTACTGTTAAATAGTACCTTCAATGTAATCTGAAAAGTTAAAGGAATTTCCCATGAATCTAACTAACAAATATATACAAACAAGTCTCTTACAGTTTGATGGGCATTACTGGACGATTCTGCTCTATAACATAACCTACCACTGTTACCATTTTGGCTTTATATATTTTAATCCATGAGTAGAATTTACTGAAACAGAAGGTAAGTAACCTATGTATAAATCAGAAGTGCAATATGCTCTTTTTTAAATTATGTCCGTAAGGAGTCATGAGGAACAAAGCCAAGAATGTTTATTAATAAAGTGATTAACTCATCTGAGCCAGTGCCCAGAACCCAGTTGCCAAAGATGACTGAATTCAGTTTTTGAAGAGGAAACAACATTATTCCATTTTTGGAAGGGAACATATACATAAGAGGATGAAATTCCTCCCTGTGAAGATGATCAGAACAAGGCCAATGCATTAAATGCCACATAACCCATGTACAGGTCTTGATGCTGGCTCTCTGCACAAAGGTGAACTTTACCTAAAAATGAATGGTTTTTTTTTGCTTTGTTAGATCAACAGGACTGTCTTGCTTGGACAGAAGAGCAAGTCAGTTAATTGGAAATGGAAGGACAGCAGGTCTTGCCCTGGGTGTTACTGTACTTTGCCTTAGTAAATCAGAAAATCCTAGTTCCTAATCTGAATGTTTTAGGCTAATCTTCCCCTGGCTAAAACCTGGGCAGTTTGTGTCTGTAGTGCTTTGCCCATGAACTTTGATTATAAATTTGTACTCATCAGAGAATCCTCTATATTTTTTGTACTTTTGGTATTTAGCAATTAACAACTACAACCACCTCTCAATTTAGTTTTCCACTTTGAGACAGAACACATTAATAGCCACTTCCTGAAGAAGTTAGCTTGAGCAAAGTTAGCTTGAGCAAAGGCTGAAATTGTGGAAAAGCAACATCACTTGCCCCATAACCTCAGCCATGCTGAACACAACGCCATCTACAGCCTCAGAAACAACTCTGACATCATAATCAAAAAGGCTGACAAAGGAGGTGCTGTCGTCATCATGAATAAATTGGAATATGACCAAGAGGCTGCTAGACAGCTCTCTAACACCACATTCTACAGGCCATTATCCTCTGATCCCACTGAGGATTACCTAAAGAAACTACACCATCTGCTAAAAAAACTCCCTGACAAAGCACAGGAACAAATCTGTACAGGCACATGCTTAGAACCCCGACCAGGGGTATTCTATTTGCTACCCAAGATCCATAAACCTGGAAATCCTGGATGCCCCATCATCTCAGGCATTGGCACCCGAACATCAGGCTTGTCTGGTTATGTGGACTCTCTCCTCAGGCCTTACGCTACCAGCACTCCCAGCTATCTTCGAGACACCACTGACTTCCTGAGGAAACTACAATCCATCGGTGATCTTCCAGAAAACACCATCCTAGCCACTATGGACGTAGAAGCCTTCTACACCAATATTCCACACAAAGATGGACTACAAGCTATCAGGAACAGTATCCCCGATAATGTCACAGCTAACCTGGTGGCTGAACTTTGTGACTTTGTCCTCACCCACAACTATTTCACATTTGGGGACAATATATACCTTCAAGTCAGCGGCACTGCTACGGGTACCCGCTTGGCCCCACAGTATGCCAACATTTTTATGGCTGACTTAGAACAACGCTTCCTTAGCTCTCGTCCCGTAACGCCCCTACTCTACTTGCGCTACATTGATGACATCTTCATCATCTGGACCCATGGAAAAGAAGCCCTTGAGGAATTCCACCTTGATTTCAATAATTTCCATCCCACCATCAACCTCAGCCCAGATCAATCCACACAAGCAGTCCATTTCCTGGACACTACTGTGCTAATAAACGATGGTCACAAATATCACCCTATACCGGAAACCTACTGACCGCTACACTTACCTACATGCCTCCAGCTTCCATCCAGGACACACCACATGATCCATTGTCTACAGCCAAGCTCTAAGATATAACCGCATTTGCTCCAATACCTCAGACAGAGACAAGCATCTACAAGATCTCTATCAAGCATTCTTAAAACTACAATACCCACCTGCTGAAGTGAAAAAACAGATCGACAGAGTCAGACAAGTACCCAGAAGTCACCTCCTACAAGACAGGCCCAACAAAGAAAATAACAGAACACCACTAGCTGTCACCTTCAGCCCCCAATTAAAACCTCTCCAGCGCATCATCAAAGATCTACAACCTATCCTGAAAGATGATCCCTCACTCTCACAGATCTTGGGAAACAGACCTGTCCTCACTTACAGACAACCCCCAACCTAAAGCAAATACTCACCAGCAACCACACATCACTGAACAAAAACACTGACCCAGGAACCTATCCTTGTAACAAAGCCCGATGCCAACTCTGTCCATATATCTATTCAAGTGACATCATCATAGGACCTAATCGCATCAGCCATACCATCAGGGGCTCGTTCACCTGCACATCTACCAATGTGATATATGCCATCATGTGCCAGCAATGCCCCTCTGCCATGTACATTGGCCAAACCGGACAGTCTCTATGCAAAAGAATTAATGGATACAAATCTGACATCAGGAATCATAATACTCAAAAACCAGTGGGAGAACACTTTAACCTGTCTGGTCATCCAATGACAGACCTGCGGGTGGCTATTTTACAACAGAAAAACTTCAAAAACAGACTCCAACGAGAGACTGCTGAGCTGGAATTGATATGCAAACTAGATACAATCAATTTAGGACTGAATAAGGACTGGGAATGGCTGAGCCATTACAAACATTGAATCTATCTCCCCTTGTAAGTATTCTCACACTTCTTATCAAACTGTCTGTACTGGGCTATCTTGATTATCACTTCAAAAGCTTTTTTTCTCTTACTTAATTGGGGTCTCCGT